TAGACCTTTGGTTCTGCATTCTGATGGGGTGTGTGTGTGCGTGCATATGCCTGTGTGTGTGTATGCATGTGCGTGTGTGTGAAATGAGAGGGAGTTCCCTTTACGTAAACTGGGAGTGGAATACCGCCAACCTTAATGGTTATGTCTGGTACTCATGTGTTGGACATGGTGCTTAGTGCTGGGAGAAAAAGATTTCAGTCTCTGCCCCCAGGGCTTTTGTAATTGGTCAAGGGAGGAAACCATGCACAAAGATAACCCAGAGAATGACAGTGGGCTGCAGAGAGCCCTCTGCCCCGATTGGGAAAGGCTTCACTGGACTTTTGAGGATGATGTCTGCTAGATAATGGAAGAAGGAACGAACCATACCAGTAGGCATTAAGAGCCTGTGAGCACAGAGCCTTGCGTGGTGTGTCAGGGAGGTAGTAGGCAGTTTAGGATCCCAGTTTCTTAGAGCCCAGAATGACAAAACCGGGGGCTGGGCATGAAGGCTGAGCCTAAGACAACTTTGACTTTCCATTTGAACCATAGTGGTCATAATTAGGTGATCTACTTTAGAAAGATGAGCACAGTGAATAGGTGGAGGAAAGTGGTGGCCAGAGATGGAAGGTTGAGGAAACAGACCTTGACAGTGTGGGCAGAAGAAAAAGAATCTTGCAAGAGCCTGAGAGTTGTGACGGAAGACAGAGGAAGTTCAGCTTCAGCACAGGTGGGGCTCAGCAGTGAACCATCTCACAGGGGAAAAATGAGACAGAACTGAGAAGAGACTGTTACATGTAAGAAGACAGGTCCTGAGCCACCCTTGGAAAAACATTATTTTAGCGGTCCTGCTGCAGAGGGGAGAAAAACTGGATGCTGGGTGTTTTCAAATGAGTCCTATTTTGTGAGAATGTAGCCAGCTATGACATGTATTTTTGTCAAGGAATATTCACAACCACCCAGCTCTCCAGGATCTATGTAATCTAAGAAACTGGAAAATTGGGGGAAGGAGCTTCTGTAGGACCGGAGGAAAGTGTGTTTCCACTGGGTCACAGTTCAGCTCTTCCTTCTGCTTAGTCCAGTTCTTCCTTTACTCCAAGTCATACTACAGTAAACACCTTCTGCTTGAATCTGTAAGATACTTAGTGTTTATTCCCGGGGAAACCGTTTTAGTCATTTTCCTCATTGCTGGAGGAAGATGCCTGGCACCTACAACTTAAAGGTGCAGAGGTTTATTTTGGCTCCTGGTTTCAGTCTGTGATTGGCCAGCTCCAGGGCAGGAACAAGATGGCAGAGGGCCGCGGTGGAGGGAAAGGTGCTCAAGCATTGCGGCCAGGAAGTGCAGAGATTAGGGAGGAGCCAGGGAGGGAGATGTACCTTTGCAGGTCACGGCCCCAGTGACCCATCTCTTCCAACCAGGAACCATCTCCAAACAGCATATGCATTGCCCCTGTAATTCAGTCACCTGCCAGACATGTGAGAATTTTGGAGGACATTTTGGATCTAAACCATAACAAGGAACAAGTATAATGTGACTGTTTCTAGTGTGTACCATGTGGTAGTCTGCTTATGGCCAGTTACCATTGGGACTCTGAGCCCTTTGCGTCTGAGCCATTTGGATATGAGCCTTTTGGATGTGCCCAGCAAAGAGCCTTTCTCTTCCTCAGCAGCTGAAACTAAGTCTCCTTTATGGAAGGAACCTCCTTGATTCCAATTGGCTGGGTTAGATGCCCATTAATAGACTTTGCAGGGAGAGAAAGAAAGCATCAGAAGTCAGCTGCTCAGGTCCTTGTGGGACCTAGCTATGAGCCTGTCCCCAAGAAGGGTCCCAGAAGGTTGAGAGGCCCTGAGTACACAAGCTGATGGCTGCTGTGTACCAATTTCACACCCCTGACTGATTTACCAGGTCTAAGGTGGCCACTAGTTATCATCCTGCATCTCCTTTCTTCAATACTCATTTTTTCTTCTAGTCAAGAAAAATGAATGCTTCAAACATAATTGAGATGTTTCAGGCAAATATAGAATTTCTCACCAAATCTGTTGCAGAAACAGCACTGAACAAACAAACGACTGGAAGCACAGCTTAGAGACAAACAGCAGCTGCCACCATGTATGGGCGGTTTTTTCTTTCCCTCATTTCTGACTAATTCCATTGGTAATAAAACCCGCTGCTCTAAAGGCCTAGTAGTTTAAGAAAACATTGGTTTCTTTCCCAATCAGGACCCCTTCCCGCCTTTTGAGGGTGTTGGGTTTGGCTATAGGGGGCAAACTCAGGTCTTGTTTTGCTCACAGGATGTCCCCACCTGTCAGGACAGGTGGAACTCATGGAGGTCTTGGTTCTTTAGGACATGAAGCCGGAATGTGGTTTCTTGTTTTTCTGCCGTTGTAAACGTGGGTAATACCAACTCCAGTCTCCCTGGAACTCCAACTCGGTAAGCTACATGCTTACTCTGGTGTTTGTCTTGTTTTGTTTGATTGTTTTGTTTTATTTTTCATTTATCTTTCATCTGGACTCTTCAAGGGAATCTAGCCATGGGTTTTTCTTAAGTCTGACCTGCTGAAGAACATCTTTAGAGAACTCATAACGTCAAACATATTTTGCCTACTTCTGCATGGATAGGACTGTGATTATTTCACTGAAGCAGCTTGTCCCCTGTTTGAATGCCATTGGCAGTGTGTAATTCCTGTTTAAATGATTACTATTACCTCTCAAGAGATTGTTTACTGTGTGCAAGGCTTGTACTGGACGCTCACTTATTCTTCACAAGAGCTTTGCAAGGTAGAAGTCATCCCTGGTTTATAGGTTTGGGCATTATGTTGCTCTCTTGGGACTGCACGGTAAATCAAGGAAAAACTGTTTGATTCCAGCCTGTCTGAATCTAAGGCTCAGGCTTTGCCCTCCTGCCTCCCAACTTCCCTATATTAATATACTACAGTACTTGTTTACATGTTTCCTATAGTTAGGATAAGATTTGAGGTCATTTTTTTCTATTAGTATTTTTTGTTTGTGTTATGGTTTGATAACTAGTGGTCAACTTAACGCCAGCTGGATGTAGCTGATATAGCATGCATTGAGAGAAGATGCTCCACCTGAGGAGGGTTGCTGGGATAAATAGGTGAGAAGAAGAGAGGTGTTGGGAAGGATTGAGGTGTGAAGGAGGCATTGTGGGTTCTCCTACGAGTTGCTGTCTCAGCTGTTGGTTCTCCTGGAGAAGCTTTGGTCTTCACATGGAGCATTGCTTCCTGGCTCCGGAGGGGAAGACATGTGCTGCCTGGTCTCCAGGGTGAACTCGTCACGCTGCTTCCTGGCACATACCCTACTGTGCTTGTTGTCGGAGGAGCTCAGGGCCTCCATGTCGCTGAGGACAGCTGTGGTTCCTTTCAGGACAGCCCCGGTCTTTGTTGTTAGTGTGACTTCTCGGCTCCAGTGTAGAACCCTCATTCCACTAGCACAGCTCCTTCATCCTGCTGGCATAGACTTTCTGGCTTCTACCGCTGACCCTTGGGTCCTCCCGGCATGAATCCGTAAAAGAGGCTGGCGTGAGTCTTTCTTGTGGGATCTGGGCTTTCAGTTGGACTCGTGGAGGCGTTGTCCTGAGTTCTGGGTTTTTATCTGGATTCATGGGGGACATTGCCATGGGGTTTAGACTCTTGACTAATTAATCTATGTCGTTGGTGTTGCGGATAGATTTCCTGCATTCTCCTGTGTTAACTTCCGGTGACCATTATAAAAATATTATAAACTCTATGTCCTGATCTGAATTGTTCTCTGTGTACAACCCCTGACTACAACAGTTTGTTTTCCAGTCCTGGGGTTGAACCCAGGGCTTCCCACTGAGCTATCCCTCCGTCCATTTTTAAAATTTTACTTTGAGATGGGTCTCACTGAGTTGCCCAGGTTAGATTCAAACTTGTAATCCTCGTGTCTCAGCCTCCCAGTGTCTGAGATTACAGGTATGCACCACCACCACCCCTGGGAGGCCAGCATATCTTTTAAAAAAATTAAATGCTTAACACTTGAAACATAGCTCTCACAGTACACAGAAAACTAATTTTTTTCTTGAGAATAATTAGATAGCCTATGTTAAGAGGGCAGTTGGGTCCATCTAAGTAAGCACCTGTTTCCTCTCCCTACCCTCAGTTCCCACCTAAAGGAAGCATGATTTCTTTTTTTGGCCCAAGTCCTCAACTTGGCTGCCTCTCTCACCATGTTTACCTGCCCTTTGTAAACATTCAAGTTTGTGACTCCTGATTTATGCCTTTATAGAAGCTATTTCCTTCCAGTTAGGAATCAGTGGAAATAAAAGTCAGTTTCTCCTGAATTTTACAGGCTTTAGTTTTATTTCAACTGGTTAGGATTGTAATTCAATAATAATAGCTGTGATTACTGGACATTTACTGAGCATGGTATCTTTCAACTGACTACAATTGCATAATTCTCCAGTTCAGCTTTATTCTTAAATTTCAGTCATGCTGAAGGTGCTGCAGAAGCGTAATTGGCAAGGGAACATTATGGAGAGGAGAGGCGAATCCAAGGAGCAGCATTGTGAAAGGCATAGTTGTGTGATATTTTCTTTAGAAACTGTTGACTCCCTGGGGAAAACTGCCGCATGATCCAGGAGCATCCTCACCTCTCCAGCGCTCTCGCCCATGGGCAACTCAGATGTAACCAAGGGAAATGCCCTAAGCAAGAGTGTGCTCAGGATGAGAGGTCTCTCATGGTATCTTGATGTACATGCAAACCTGTTTCTATCTGATGGTGAGAAGTGTGTTAACTCCTTTTTATTGTTTTAATTAAGAATTTCCTTTTCTCTGATAAAAAATAGCCATATAAATTAGAAATGAAATGGCATCTGACCAATTTCACAGCCACGGCAGAATTACATTTTTAAAATTTTGATAATATTTAATATTGACACCAGCACTTCCTAAATAAACTTATTTTCTTATGTTAAATAAATATTTGCTTGTGTAAAAGACAGTGTCTGGAGTGCACTTTTGAACTTTTATTTATTTTCTTTTAGGACCCTGCAGGGATCTTTGAATTGGTGGAACTTGTTGGAAATGGAACATATGGGCAGGTTTATAAGGTAAGCCCATCAAGTTTTGAGTTTATATGTGGTTTAGTTTGAGCATGACTTACATATGGTTTCAGTTCATGAGTTCTGAATACAGTGCTATCTACACTTGCTCAAAAATGCTTCACAATAGATGTTAAATAAAATAATACGCTTGTTAAGAGTCTGTCCCTCTCTATCTGCGACCACATTGCCTACACTGGAGTCTGTGAACTGGACATTTCCCCTCAACACGTATTATGGTGTTTAAATCTGGACACATGAATTTTGATATTGCATATTTGAAATTTTTGAAGTACTTAGTTTCCTTTACCTGTAGCACTGTGAAAGCTACTTTTCGAAGGATTAGAGCATACCGTTTAGTTTACAAATTAAACTATTAAATTATCACAGGTGAAAAAGTAAATTTGTTCCTGGCTTAGAACACTCTGGGTTTAGTGAGTAGTGTTAGGGGGAAAAAAACCTGGTACTTCACTCACAAAACAAAGACCTAGTAGCAGTATGAGTTTTACAAGTTAGTAAATAATTAAAAGTTAAGCTTGAGGTTGATTTTCCCGCTGTTTTACTAATTTTTGTTCACAAATTCACTCAAAAGAAGATTTTTTAAAATGTTTTCCCTGTTGGGTGGGTGGCGGTGGTGCATGTCTGTAATCCAGCACTCTTGGAGGTTTAGTCAGGATGATTGTGATTTAGTGGCTTGGTGAAACCTCATCTCTAAACAAATAAGCAAATAGACAAACAGTCAAATTTTTAAAAACTGGAGAGAATGCGAAATATCTTAGCGAGAATGTATGGATTCAACCCCAGATACTGGGAGAAAATAAAAAAGCTTTTCATTAGTAAATGACCTAAAAATAGGTTTTCTTTTTCTTTTTTTAATGTGGCCTGATTTCTCTGTTGATTATCAAAGGAAAGGGGAGAGGAACTGTTTTGGACTAAAATTTTGGGAGTTTTGGTGAAGAAAATGCCTTCAGAACAAGTTTCTTTTGATATTTTTCTTGGGAAACAAACCATCATTTTCCCAAGTGGTAGTGATATGAGATGATGTTTCAATTATAAATTACCTCACTGTTATGTTTTTAAAAATTCCTTCTCTGATCCTCAAACTTCTCTCAGTTGATTAAAATTATTGTAAAAGTCATTTAGATTGTAATGGCTCCAATTTTCAACATGTCTCAAGTATATGAACAAGGTGTTTTTCAGAGTCTGATTCTGAAAGCACGTTATAAATAGATACACACTTACGGGCCTTTATTTACTAGGACAGTCTGTGTGATGTCCACTGCAAGGGAGAATTTGTCCCTTGCAAAAACAACTTCTTCCTAAAATGTCAACCCTGTACAGTTAGACTGTAATCTACTGAGCTGCACACTTGACATTGATCCTGTCTGACACAGACAGAAATGTGTCTCAACAAATGCTTTTAAATACTTTCAGTGAAGATAATTAAGTTGGAAGACTGTGTTACTGCATTTCGAGAAATTGGATTGAACTTGGGAAGCAATGAGGCTAATGAATTAAGTCCTGATTTAGGTACACGATTACTTCTGATTTCTTGTCGAAATGGAGGAGCAGCTCTGTAGCTGTCTGTTGGTTTTATGGTGTCACTTCTTAGAGCCACTGAAGAACGCTTTCCATGTGCAGAAGTCACATTTGGGAGAAAATTCACAGCTTTGCCCATTAATTCAAGAGGTGTAATTGTACACTCTTGTAAGAGGAGACAGCAAAAGCATTCCATTGAGGATGACAGTGTTTGGAAAAACCAGAATTATTCCTAGTTTTATGTCACCTAATAAAAAAGCAACACATGTCAAGAGTTCTCATATATTTCCAAGAAAAAGAAGACATATAGTGCAGGATTAAATAATATTATTACTCTAAAGGGTTCCATTCTCTTAATGTTTGATACAATAATTTTCACCTTCCTTGTTGGGACGAGAATGTCCACGAATATGATAAATGCACTGTACTTTGGGAAAGTAAGCTTGGTTCCTTTTAATAGCTGTATTTGTTTTGTGGTCATTGCAGTGATTCTGTGCTTGTGGTGATTTAGCTGTAGACTACTAACACCTTAATCATTAAGGTTTGGTTTCTAGGCAAACGCGTGATGCTTGTTGGCCCTGCTCACTGACAGAAACACCTGTGTTTCCCGAGGACTACTCTAGTTTTGCTGTTGACCAGAACAGTGAAGGGTTAACATAATAAAATAGCAAAAGCTGAACTTAAAAGAAAAGCTAGGGAAAATTAAATTAGGAAGCTATTTGTTTTCATGCTCTACATTTTGTAACTTTTATGGAGTAAGTATGCTTTTGAAGTACTGTAGGCATAAGTAGACATTTTGTAGCCCTAGGAGGGGATTCTTGTACAGAGAAGCTGGTAAACATTTTCTTTATATTAAATATGAAATTATTTAAGTTTTCTGTAAATTCATCTTCTGATATTCCTGGCTTTTATAACATTAGGTAGGGTTTTAGGAATAATTGAATGAACATAACCTTCATTTTGTGAAAAATTTCATAACTTTTTAAATGAATTGCCCTATGAAAGTTATAAATTTTTATTTTCAAATAATTTTCTAAGAAATGTACTTCCTATAATAAATAAAGAGTATATGCAGATAATGAAGAGTGTTCCTGAATATTTGCTTGTGAGCTAGATACAGTTGGATAAGAAATATGAATATTTTATGTAAAGGCCATTTATAAAACATCATTTAAATTGAGCTTTTTAAAGTTGGCTCTGTTCTTACTCCCAAAATTAATTTATTGCACCTATTCTTGGTAGGCTAGACTTGCTAATCTTTAGCATTTTGGTCCTAAACAATCATGTAGCAATTTAGTATTTCTTGATTTGTTTGTCTTTATTTACAGGACAGAATAGATAAGTAATAAAGAATACTCATTCTCTATCAGGATTTTTAACAAGTAAACTACCTTCCCACACCATGGCTCCCATTTAAATCAGACCAACACAAAGCCACAGACTTGTTTGCTAGAAATCTTGGCTGTTTATCAGCATACTGCCTATTTGGAACCTAATGGACCCTTTTTGATAAACTAGAGTTATTGTTTTAATAAGTCAAAATAATTGCCAGTGGTTAGCTGGCAATTGTTCCACTTCAAATTAGCTGTATACTTATAGAGAATGTTGGTTTATCCTGTTTCTTAATTGCCATTTTGGAATATATATTGTTACAACAGACAGGAAGACATATTTTTCCAGGATGACACTGTGATCTGGGAATATGATGAATTCCTTGTGTGTGTGTGTTTTCAATCCTCGTCAGAGTTGGGAATTGCCGAGCAAAGAGCGCACCTTAGTGGTTACGTGTTTGAGAAAGAAGGAGATGCAAGGTGACTGGATGTGTATTTTCAAGTGGGCTCAAAGCTTCTCACGGGTCATCTGTGTGATCATTTCTCTGCCAACTGACTGTATCCTTGATCACTTCCGTCAGGCAGAACTCATTGCCTTACAATCAGTTCATTTTCCTGCAACTTTTTGGAATCTTCATTAAATCAGAATTCTACTTCTTCAAATATTTAGTATTTCAATTCCATTTTCTGCCCATAGAACTATTTAGAATTAAATCTTCCACAGGAACATAGTCTTTCAGATGGTCAAAGACTTCTCTCTTATTTCCCTAATATGTACTCATATCTCTTTTTCTGCAGGCATTATAGTCTCAGTTGCTTAGTTTGTTTTTCACGTGAAATAGACTGGAGGCTCTTCATTATCACTGCTTCTTTCCTTGAAACCACTCTAATGGATGTACTAAAAACTATCTTATGCTTGTCAGTAGTTCCCTCCACCCCATTTTCCCAGTCCTCGGACTGAACTCAGGGCCTTGCTTATGCGAGGCAAACACTACCACTGAGCCATAACCCAGCCTTGTTCGGACACAGGCTCCCGGCTAGCTGCAATCATAGGCGTACACTCCGTGCCTGGCTTTGTCAGCTGCTCTGTATTTCACAAAACCTATTATGTACATTATTTAACTCTATCATAATTTCACAAGAGTTTGTTCTCATTACAGTGGCCTTGTAATTATAGCTCCTTGTGCCTTGAACACTTTGTCCTTTCAATATTGGCTCTTCTCCTTCAGGTCTCAGATCAAAATTTCTTCAAGGAAACTCATTTCTACCTTGTGTCTCCTCCAAGCTGCTGCCTCTGCTTCCCTCTTCCAGACTTTCTGGATCCATCCACTTGTTGTAATAGCTAGAGGATCCCTCTCTGGATTGTCTGTCTTCTTTGCTTATGTGTATATTAAATCATTTGAGTATAGAAGTGAGGAGAATAAGATGAGAGACAAAACCTTCCTTGTTCATCGCTGTATTCCCAGTGTGGTACAGAGTTGAGCCCAGAATTGTGCTCTGTTTTTGTTAATAGTTCTGTTAACATTTTTTTCAGTTTTCTTAATATTTCTCTTAAAATATTAGTCTGTTTAACTTCAGAAATTTGCACAAAAGTGTCAAATCAAGTGCTCTACTTGCTATTTATAGTGGGAGGTAGACTTTGCATTAAAAGAATTGTCAATCTGTGCTGACAATTTACAAAAATGAATAAAAACAATTTTATGGAGTTGAATCACCTAGCAGAGGTTCTCAAATTTTACTATGTAAAATAAATATTTGGAAAAGTATTTAAAATTTAGTTTTCTAGGCACTCATCTCTGATACTTGATTTAATACGTCTAGGGTGATTTAATATGTCCATAATATGCCCTAGACATATTATGGACTTTTACTTTGTGTGGGTTCATTCTAATTTCAAAGCCCTGGTACCATACTCAAGAAACTCTGCAAAAAATGATTATCCCTTATACTGCTAAAAGGTCACTTGAGGGAAAGAGAAGCCTAATCCTTTTTGTAATCATTTGCTTTAGAATTTCCATGCTGAGCCAAACTTGCATAAACTGACAAAGGCAAAAAATGTAAACATTTTGATCTAAGATGAGATACCATCCAGTTTTGACTTTTTCACTTATTCAGAGATTTAACTTGGCAGTGTTTATG